GTATTGTATTTTAAATTAATATATTTTATTAATTATATATTGAAATTTTTATATTATTTCAGAGCCACCGATAAAAAGACCAAAACAAGACCAGTGCATTCAAACTGAATTGATTCGTTTGAAAAACATGAAATTTTATATGTTGTCAGAGCCGGGATTGAAAATCATCGTCGATAGACTGACTGCAATTGGACATAAAAATGGTATAACAGAAGATACTAACAAATTAGTAAAATACTTGTCTGAATTGGCTACCTGTGAATGGAAATTTGATACAAAATCAAATGTATAAAATTTTATAAAAGATGAATAAATTTTTTTATTATTAAACCTATGTTTTATTTATTTAAAATGAATTGCATTAAAGTGGATCGAAAACACATTTCATTTAAACACCCATTCACTTGTATGGTCGCTGGACCTACAAGTAGTGGTAAAACTGTACTACTTAGAAATATATTGGAGAATTATAAACAAACTTTATATTTTACTGATATACCAAATAAGTTAAAAATTGTGTGGGCATACGGACAATGGCAAGAATTGTACACTAAATCTATTGCTGACTGTGATATACAATATATTGAAGGCCTACCCAATGAAGAAGAAGTAAAAGAGATTAAACCTCATCTCATAGTTATTGATGATTTGATGACTGAGTTGGGAAATAATGTTAAATTAGCAAATTTATTTACTAAAGGTAGTCATCATATGAATATAAGTGTGATATTTATATCACAAAATATATTTCATCAAGGGTCCCAAATGAGGACAATTAGTTTAAATTGTCATTATTTGATATTACTTAAAAACCCAAGAGATAAAAGACAGATAATTAGTTTAGCTTCACAGATATATCCGGAAAATTCAAAATACTTTATAGAAGTGTATACTGACGCCACATCTGTTCAATATGGTTATATTAAAGTAGACCTAAAGCAGGATACACCTGAAAAATATAGAGTACAAACAAATATTATACCAATTAATAATAAATTGAAAATTATTTGCTATATTCCTAAGTAATGTCTGATAATTTGAAAAAATATTTTAGAGATTTGCAGTTTGTTTCTAAAATAAAATGTAAGAAAACACAAAAAACATTATTGAATTATTTAGCTAAAGACCCAAAAGTATATTTAGCTATAAAAGAAATTGGATTAAATGTTATAAAAGGAAATATAAAAACTAAAAAATTGAATAAAAGTAGAAAACTTTTACTTAAAAAGTTTGAAAGGAAACAAAGTTTAAAAACTTGTAAAAGTGTTGTACAAAAAGGAAACGCTTGGATGTGGTTAATACCGTTACTAACAACTGTATACGAATTAATAAAAAAATAATGTCATTCAGAAAAGTTGAATTGGTTACTAATGATAGTGATGATGACATCGATATGGATATCTCAACAATGAGTGTGGATAGTAAACCGTTTGATAAAATTAAACCAAACACATTAGTAACTAAAAACATTGTTGACAATGTTACAAATGATGGCAATATTAAAAACAATTTATCACATATTAATAATTTTCCACATATTAATAATTCATTTTTAAGTATAATAGAAGATATGGTTTTAAAAGTTTTAATTAAAAATAATTTAATTAATACAACTAAAAAACAAAGCAAAGTTAATACAAAAGTTCATAAACCTAACAAAAAAGTTGTTAAAAAAGTAGTAAATAAAAAGATTGTTAAAAAATCTAAATCTAAAAAATCTATACAATGGATCAAAATATAAATGAGTTGTTGAATAAAATATATTATGATCCACAAAATAGTGGATCATTTAGTGGTGTAAATAATTTGTATAAAACTGCTAAACAATTAAATCCAAATATAACATTAAAATTAGTAAAAGATTGGTTAAAAGGAGAGTTAACTTATACTCTACATAAACAAGTACACAGAAAATTTATACGAAATCCTATTGTTGTGACATATATTGATGAGCAATGGGAAGCAGATTTAGCTGATATGAGAGAATTTGCTAATAAAAATGATAAATATAATTATATTTTAACAGTAATTGACTGTTTTTCTAAATTTGCATTTACTGTTCCATTGAAAGTTAAAACAGGAAAAAGCATTACAAATGCTTTTAAAACACTATTTAAAAACAGAAAACCATTATCTTTACGTACAGATAAAGGAAAAGAGTTTTTAAATGAAATATTTCAAAAATATCTGAAATTAAATAGAGTTAACTACTTTCACTCAAATGATTATAAAATAATAACTGAATATTAAAATCTATCCACAAGATCCCAAGTTTTATTTAATTTATGATAAAACATTGATACCAACAGTTGAAATAATGGACGTAAGACTGTTTATGCATAAATCTATTGTTAACCCGCAAGTAGTTGTGGCACACAATAGAGCACTTGAAAGTGCTAATGCCCGCTATTTTATTACACGAAAGGAAGTAAAGACATCAATTATAGCTAAAGACACATTAGATTGTTATTTAAATAATATAATCAATGGAGTGGTTCCTAGAAAAATATATATTGGTTTTGTTAGTAACGAAGCATATAATGGTTCATATAATATGAACCCATTTTATTTTAAAAATTACAATATCCGACACATTGCTTGCTATGTTGATGGCACTCAATATCCACACAGACCATACACACCAGACTTTACAAATAAAAAATATATGCGTGAATACTTTGGATTATTTGAAACAGCAAATCAAATCAAACATTCAACAGATATTGACATAACACGGGAAGAGTATGCTGAAGGTTATACATTATTTGGATTCAATTTTACACCGGATTTATCTGACGGAGTAGCAAAAAGTGGTTATGTATCAACAGTTGTTAGAGGTAACTTACGAGTTGAACTTAAGTTTGCCTACCCTATACAAGAGACTGTAACTGCAATCATATTTTGTGAATATGATAGTTGTGTAGAAATAGAGAGCTCAAGATTTGCTATTAAAAATTTTCAATAAATTACTATGAATACATTACAAATAAATAATTATTTTAAAAATTGTAATAAATATTATGGTACATATCCTAGAGATATGCTACCAAATATTATACCAAAAGCTAGTGGTGTTATTATTAATACAGATAAAGCTAGTGCTCCTGGGGAACATTGGGTTAGTGTATACAAAACAAATAATGGTAGCATTATATATTTTGATTCATTTGGTTTACAACCACTACATATTGATATCTTAAATTTTATAAAAGACAATACTGTAAACGGTTGGTATTACAACTGTATTAATTTTCAAAGTGTATACTCTAATACTTGTGGATTATATTGTATTTATTTTTTAACTAATTATTTTAATGGCGGATCATTTGAACAAATCCAAACTGTGTTTGGTTTTAACCCTCACATTAATGACTGTATTGCCAAATTATTATGTAACTGGTAAATGTCATTTATCAGATGTGTATAAAAATTTTAGTGATTATTATAATATTTACATTAAAATAAAAGATATTTACAATGAAAAGTTTCTTATTGTTATGACTGATGTAAACGTAATTAATGGTACGTTAGCAAATATTGCGTCAACATATAGACATCGCATTGAGCGCTATTTTATAGAAGAAGGGTTTCCTCTCAACAACGAACACGACTTACTTTTTATAGTAAACAAACTTAATCTCTAAAATGAGTAAAATTAATCAAATCTGTGGTGTAATGGACGCACAAGGTTTTGTTTATAACAATATCTTTGTCCCCCGTGAGATTGCAATAATATCTCACACTTGTAAAATGTCTGAGTTGTGTGAGACAAACCTAACTTATAGAGATATGGAATTGAAAGATCGGATTACCAACCTTTATTTGGCCAACAACTTATTGGGACTATCGTTACGTACAGTGAACACTGAGATAACACAAAACTCAACAATGGATGCCAAACAAATTATTATTGAGATGTATGAGAAAATCAAAAGCAAAGAAAAGCCATACATTGGTATTAAGTGTCTACAATTGGCGGATCTATTGGACATGTGTGCTATACCTTACGTTGAATTGGATCAGTATGGATGTCCTAGTCTTAAGACATTAAAGAGAATGTATGGTGGTCGTTCATGTCATTTTCATGAACGTATCATACCAGATAAATCTGATATGAGATGTGCTCAACACAAGTGTGAGCTATTGTGGAAATGGCTTAAAAATTACTATTTGTTTTCATATTAAAATGTAAATAATTATACAATTTTTATTTATTTATCAGTAAAATTATTTTATTCAATTAATTTGTTTTGTTTATTTATTACAATATTAGTTTAATAATATACAATAATTACATTAATTAAGATATTTAATGATTTCATCTTTCATTGACAATAAATTGTCAATTTCAGGGAATATGACATTTAATTTTTTAATGTTACCATTACTAATGATACTAAAACAATACAATTGTTTTTTCAAACGCATGAATGAGATAACTCGATGATCTCCAAACGAACCAAAGTCTTGGTTTTCTAGCTTTTTCAACAACTCTTTGAATTCATTACCATATAAATAAACGCCATGTTTGGTGTAGAAGACATCTTCTCCATCATTGCAAACAGTCAGTCGGATGTCCACAAATTTTTCACCGTTTTCATGTTCCAATACACGAACAAATTTGTCAAATTTGTTTTCGCCTTCAGTTTTGCTGAAAATGGATTTTTGAAACAATGTTTTGCCAACCATTTTGATGATAAAAATTTAATTCACAATAATAATCAGATATAACAAAACTAATAATTACTAATACAATAATTGTGTATACACTTTGCTTTTATAATAAATATTTTATAGAGTAGTCAGATTTTACGGTAGTGTAATACATTATTTGTTGTTGCAATAGTAGTTAAACTACTTATTGCAACAGATGTTGCAATAATTGAAGCAATAGTTGTTAAAAAACTTGTTTCAACTGTTTTTGTAATAGTTGATGCAATAGTTTATGAGTATATAAATACATCAACATTTATTATAGTAATACAATTTGCATTATCAATATGCCTGTGATAACTAATGTTTCGATGACAGCTGATCTCTTTGATATGATTGGTTTTATTGATTTAAGAAAATTGTGTAACAACTGTTGTAATTGTGTATATCACAATTACCCATTTGTGAGAGTAATTAAACGGTATCGTAACCCTAATGCCACGGTTATGATATACGACTCTGGTAAACTAGTATGTGTTGGCGCAAAATCAAAAAATGATGGTCGAATAGCATTACGAAAGACTGCTCGCATAATACAAAAACTCGGATATGACATCAAATTACATAACTTACGTGTGACTAACATTGCTGCGTCACATGACCTGAAAAGCGACTTGAATGTAGAGAAATTAATGAATCAATTTAATTGGAGCAGTAATTATGAGTTGGAAATATTTCCACATTTGAGAATCAATTGTGGTAATAAAAGACATATAACTCTCACTAGAAAAGGGAAAATGATATTGACTGGTGTTAATACTAAAAAAGCATTGAATGAATTATATGAAGAGTTTATTATTAAATACTTTGATTACTTAATAAACAAATAAATATGAAGAAAGTTAGATTTGATGACAAAATACAGATAAAGACTATGTATGTTTGGTCATATGCTTCAAGACAAGCTCGTATATCTAACTGGCATTGGATAGTTTTTAACAGACGTATCCATGAATATAAATGTAATCTTATTGAAGAAAATATATCATATGTATTAGATAAAGACTTTAGAAATAAAATTTTTAACGAACGCTTTTGTAAATAAAATTATTTTTATTCAATTATTTATTGTATAAAATTTACATAAATAAGTTAATTGTAAATATTTTTATTTTCTGTATAATAAAATAAATCATTAAAAATAATTACATAATTAGTTATTCATAAACAATATTATCTTTTACGTATTTATAAGTAGTGTATATAGTTAAGTTGTTAATTTGGTATTTATTGACAGCCATATGGTTCACTATTGATACGGTTAACTCTTTGTTAGGATATTTAGAAGCTTTCGCTATTAACAAATCCAAAAATTTCTGTGTTAGTCCAAATTCAGGTATAACAATATTCGTGATGTTTGGTTTCATTAATGCATCTCTTAGATATCCATGAAAATGATTGAAGATATTAACACTTTTATCAAATACAATAGTCTCACAAACTCCTGCTGTTTTGCTTTCTAATACAGCTTTAAGGTAGTTGTTGTAAATGTTATACAATACAAGTACTTTGCGATTTTTTACGTAAACGCAAAAATTAGAGTAATTTCTCATATTCATTGAAGTCTTATAAGTACCAGTTTTTCTCAGTTTATCGACAACTTTTCCAAATCCTGGTAGACTTTCAACAATAGCCACTTGTTTACCCGTATCAGATTTAAAGTATATTGAAGGCGTCAGTTGTTTAATTAAATTGAATGCATTAAAAACGTATTGACCGACATCATAGTCAATTGTCAGTTTTTTCAATGATTTGTTGGCAGAAAGACTAATCCATTGATCTTTGGTTAATTGTTTGTTAATAATGAGTTCTTTCAATTTTGGTGAAATAGGCAAGTGTTCACATAGTAGTTGAGACGATACTTCACCGTCAATGTGCACTTCTTTAAGTATTTCGCCATACATTTCAATAAATTTCACAAAATTGCTGTTATTGAATTTTATCTTATCCATAAAATTAATGGCCTTAATTTTTGCCGGAATATCCAAATCAAGAATATAGATGAGTTCTTCATCAATTGGAAATTTGTCACCCCAAAAGAATGACACTTCCTTCAAATATTTGAAATTATCCAAAAATAAATGCATTGATTTATTTTGTGTAATAATTGCCAAATTGATTTCCAATTTAGTAATGTATGCCCATTTTGAGTGTAATGACTGCAAACACTTATCGCCGAGTGCTACATATCCTAAACCTAGAGATCCATAACGTATTGTATTGTCATCGATCCGTTTATGCCAATCAAAATCGTAATCGTCGGTAATTCGGAGAACTCGATGATAAACAGGAAGACATTGTTTCCATTGAGTTGAAACTTCACTTAGACATGATTTGTCATCTGCGACCAGCGGACTTAATAGTAATGCACACAAATCATCTCCAAATCTATCGAAACTATCTCTAGGATAGTTATTCATAGTGCTAAACATAAAATATGAAAGTAAATAAAAAAATGTTTTTAATTAATTAATATTAATTTTTTGAAGATTTTTTTTAAAAGTTTTTTTTAAAAGTTTTTTTAAAAAGTTTTTTTTGAAGTTTTTTTTGTGCTTACTTTATTTTTTTATAAATAATCACAAATTATAAATTCAAGACTCAGTTATACACTGATATCTTCCACTGGCGAGTTAATTTGATGTATGTTTGAATACAATGCTAGCCTCAATCCAATGTATTCCGTACTACAGTCTATAAGACACTAATTTGTTAATTTGACCGCTTATTAGTTAATTTTTCATAATTATTTTTTTATTAGCTTAAACTACACATTTTTAAGCATCTTTTAAGAATAAAAAATTTTAATTTTAATTACAATTAAAAAAGTTATTAACAATTTAAGTTAATTAATATATACAGTATATGTAATATTATTGCAATACAGTGTGTACATATTATTTCAATACAGTGATGTCATTATATTACATGTATTGTATGCAATAATTAATGTTAGTTCGGGTAGTTGGTCAGCTCGGGTAGTTGGTCAGTACGGGTAGTTGGTCAGTTCGGGTAGGTAAGGTTCGGGTAATTGGTCAGTTCGGGTAGGTGGTCAGTTCGGGTAGTTGGTTTGTTCGGTAAGTTGGTCAGATTGGGTAGGTGGTCAGTTCAGGCAGGTAAGGTTCGGGTAATTGGTCAGTTAGGTTAGGTTGGGTTAGGTTCGGTTAGAGGTAGTGGTGACGTCATTAGTGTAGTACACTTAGGTTAGGTGGAGTCACGTGATCACGTGAACCCCCTCTCCGTGACACAGTTATATGGGGGATAGCACTGTGCCTTCCCCTCGTGAACCATGTTGTCTTAACTACTAATAATCATTTATTATAATTTTTATTGACTTTTTGTCAATAACGTCGTCAATTGATTCACATAATGGTACAGAAATTTGATGAAAATATGTGTTTAATTGGACACTGGATAGTGATTTTGAGATAATAAATGCCGTAAAAAACCATAAAATTAGCATAAAATATAATCTTTTGAGTAGACATTGATTATTAATTTTAATAATATTTGCTTTTTTAAATTTTACAAATGCCAAATCACCTTGATTCATTAATAATCTATAAATATCCCATTTGAAATAATCAAAATTTTTGCCATTATTATTTGATATGTACATAATTAACAGAGATACTAAAATACTCGCTAATAATAATAGCCAAACCTATGTTAAAAATTATATAATATAATTTATTCAATTATATATATTAAAGAAATTACTTTACTAAAATTAGTATAAATTTATTAGATAATGCAGTTTTAATATATATAACGCACACACACACAAACATACACACACAGAGAGAGAGAGAGAGAGAGAGAGAGAGAGAGAGAGAGAGAGATAGAGAGAGTGACAAAATACTTTTACCTTATAATCAAATAGATTACTTGTACTCAATAATGATTGATCTTTAATAATATGCAAACCACTAACAATTACAGCCAAATGTCCCTGGTGCATTGCAAATATGTCAAAATTATTTAATATCGTATGTGATGGCGTTGAATACAAATTAGTTGTAATACAGTTATACTTTATTTATAAAACATAAGCAAATTATTTAAAAATTCTTGCACTTTTTTTAGAGTTATATATTTACCTCTAATTGTTTTTGAAAAAAAATTGTCAAACATAGATTACATAAAACATATTGAATGACAGTCAATTGATATCCAAATATTTTTTCCTAATTAATTATATTTATTTATAAAATTAGTTATAAAATATTTTTATTCTATATAACAATAATAATAAACATTATTTTAAATTTACTAAATATTTAATTTTATTATTATTTATTAAAATTACTTACATTTTGAAATACTAATGTTATATTTCCACGATTTTCACAGTTGTAATCACAAATTAATTGCATATATATATTAACAATATAATATGGTATATTATATGCGTACAACAATTTAATTTTTGTTATGTTAGACATTTTAGACAGAGTTATTGTTCACTTAAAAATTATTAATATCTTTATAAAACATTAAATAAAATTATAAACCATAAACAACAATAAAAATAAATAAAAACGTGTACTTAAAATCAATTATTATTTGCAGATATTAATCATAAATAAAAATAATATTTTTTCCAATAAAACAATATCTCGTATACAATAACTTTTCTATAATATTAAATAATTTGTTATTTGCATTAAATTAGAATTATAGCGGTAATAAAAATAATTAATTGAATACAAAAAATAGATTTAAAAAGTTAAAAAAAATAATTAGTTTATGTTAAGATATTAATATAAAACTTAAGTTTAGCTAAAATTCTCAAATTAACATCATTTTGAATAAAGGTTTGAAAATAAGGTTAACTGAATATATATTTTTTATTAAAATACAGTATAATTAAAATATAAAAACATAAATTATCAAAATAAAAAATTTGAAATAGGATTTCAAATTAGATGATTTAAAACGACAAATAATTTTTCTCGAGTTTTGTTATCGTTAGTTAAATAATTTTTTAAGCTTTAGTTATAATCAATAAAAAGTTTAGTAATATTAATGTTTTTATACTTAATATATCATTTTATTTTTAATAAATAGCTTTTATAATAAATGATTAATTACTGTATAAACTAGACAATCGATTTATCGATAATTTGTGTATTATATACAGTAGTATAATATATGTATAGTTATTTATCTCATAAATATAGTATTAAAATATCTATAGATATGGGGATCAAATAGATTAATAATACAGTTAAATTTCTATAGATAAATTTATTTGAAACTTTCTATTTACCCATCTCTAGTCATTAAGGTAAACGGTTAATATATAGAGTAGTTACGACATACGGCTAACGGTGAGGGAAAGGACTGTGCGGATAGCGGAGATCACGTAACCCTACAAAAAATAACCTAAGTGTACAACCAATGACGTCACCACTACCTCTACCCAAACTAACCTAACTGACCACTTACCCAAACTGACTATCTTACCAAACCATATATAATATATAATACAAAGTATACTTACATATACTTATATTTTAATATGTAAAATATTTCTCAGTTTATTGCGCAGTTTATTACGCATAAAATAATCATAAAATTCTACTTGGAAAATTGTCTTCAAAACAATCTTTGCCTACGCTTCACACATAAGTAGGCCATTTGCCATAAATTTATAATATAGTTTTTTAAACATTTATAAACATAGACTTAATATTAAATAAATATATTAAAAATTTATTAGAATTTATATTTATATTTATTAATTAGATTAGGATTGAATTGCATTAGAAATATATTAGGATTAGATTTGTAATAATAGCTATGGCTTCTAAAAAGCCAAAAAAGGGCCAAAAAAGAGCGCAAATATTTAGACCTCAGGATTATATTGAAGATCCGCAACTTTTTGTTAAATCGAAACACTGGCACATTTGTTTTGGCAACAAAAATACCTAATCTATTTTTTTGCAATTCTAAATATTTAACCCACTCAAGAGATATCATATTTTTATACTTATTTTGAGTATTTTCATTTAATCGTATGGCAATGGAACAATTTTCTATATCTGGCCCTGAATTGTTATCTATAACTTTCCATCCCATTTCTCTGTTGACTCTTTTAATATTATTTAAAAACGAGCATAAAATGTAAGCCATGCCCTGATGGTTCCAAGTGACGATCTACATCACCTGTTAAAGATACCATCACATAAGTCATTTCGTGGGCTACTGTATCTTTAAAAATTTTCAGTCCCTCCTCTCTTAATAATTGCCAGTTATAAATAATATCTTCGCATCCATCCCATTGATATGTGATGCCGTATGTATCTGGCCTTCCATTAGTTTTACCCTTATTATTAGGCTCGTAATTCCAACGGCCTTCTCTCACTTTTTCTGGACTGGATATAATTGATATTAAATTTTGTTAATTGAAGGGCAAATTATAGCATATACCTCACTAATTTTCTTAATTATATTTTCCACCTCATTATATATATATTTATGGCTTTTACATCCCCCGCTTCCATTATTTGATTTCGGTATTTTTGTTGCCAAAACAAAAAATACTCTAGTAAATGTGTCATAGTGTTTCGATTTAACGAAAAGTTGCGAATCTTGAATATAATCCTGAGGTTTAAATATTTGTCCTTTTTGGCCTCTATCCTTGGCTTTTTAGTAGCCATAGCTATTATAACAAATCTAATCCTAATAAATAATTAATTAATAAATATAAATATAAATTCTAATAATTTTTTAATATAATATTTATTTAATATTAAGTCTATGTTTATAAAAGTTTAAAAAAAACTATATTATAAATTTATGTCAAATGGCCTACCTATGTGTGAAGCGGAGACAAAGATTGTTTTGAAGACAATTTGTCAGGTAGAATTTTATGATTATTTTATGCGTAATAAACTGCGCAATAAACTGAGAAATATTTTACATATTAAAATTACAAGTATATGTAAGTATGCGTTGTATTATATATTATATATGGTTTGGTAAGATGGTCAGTTCTGGTAAGTGGTTGGTTAGGTTGCTAGAGGTAGTTGTGACGTCATTGGTTGTACACTTAGGTTAGGTTGGGTTGGGTCACATGATCTCCACTATCCCCTCCGCTATCATAATACATTGGGGAAGCACAGTGCTTTCCCCCACCGCTATCCGTATTTCGTAACTACTATATAGTTTTAAATTATTTAAATATAATATTTTCATGTCAATGTTTTATATAAATCAATTAAGATAAATATTTATTTTATTTAATGCATTTTTGTATTATTATTACAGTGTGTTTTAAATAATTTAACATTATTTTTATAAATTTAAATTAGTTTTATTGCCTTAGACATGTGTGCTGTGCTTAATTAATTGTTGTTTACCCAGATAATTTAAATTTACAAATTTCATATAGTAAAATAAACAAGGCTAAACAATTACCCACAACAAAAATGATACCATTATTATGGCTAAACTGATCAAGATTAATTTTGTAGGAATTAATTTTTGTCATTGGCCCATTATAATCAATTATTATATTATGTAATTTTTTTAATCGATTTAATCTAAATATTGCAAACAGTTTATTAATAATTTTATGTAACTCATAGTGATGTAAATTTAAACCATTTTCTAATATACTATTGTATCTATTAAATAAAAAATAAGTAAAATGTTAATTTGTATAAAATTAAATAAACAATAATTAAATTTAAATACATACAATAATCTTAATTGTTGATAAAAATTGATATTTCTAGACAATATCAATACATTTAATGATGGCAAATATTTTTGTGATATTGAAAATAAATGTCTATCATCTCTATAGCTGTCATAAAACTCATTTGCTTGCATTGAATTTGTTATCCAAATCGCCTTATTTTTTATTAACAAATTTAATACTCTATACGAATCCGTTAAATAAAGCAAATTAATCTAAATATTTAAAAAAACAATTAAAATTTAATTACAATTTATTAAATATTATAAATTTCAAATACCTCCGTTTTATATTTGCGTTTTTTAAGTTTGATTATTGTTGTATTACTTATTAATTTATTATTTTCTAAATATTCAACTTGTTTTTGATCAATAATTAAATCAATTGATTTATGTTTAAGCAAACTATCCATACTATCAATTAACGGTTGAGATGTTTGTTGAAAATAAGTATTCAATAATATACTGGAAAATGCTTTTGTTATAAAAATGCTGCGATTGTCCACATTATTACTATAATGCATAAAAATCTACTTTTATTGTTAATGTATTTATTATTTATAAATAATGTCAAACTACTCTGATGAGTTAGCAATCTTAAAATGTCCCATCTTAAATTTATTAATAATTTTTGATTTATTATCGTTGAATTAACTAAAATAAATGTTGCCAATAGACTCACAAATAATAACAACCATATCTATTACAGTAATTAGAAAATCATTTACAAAATAAATTATATTTGACATTATAAAATAAGATTAAATAAGTTTTAATTAATATATTTAAATTACATTAAATTCAAAAAGATTTTTGATACTTAATATCGATTTATTCATCATCAATTGCATGCCACTTACAATAACAGCTAAATGACCTTGATAAATTGGAAATATATCAATTTTATTGATAAGTTCCAATGATGTTGTATTACTAATTAAATTATTTGATGTCATTGTTAAACTATTTTTCTGTAAAAGACAAACCAAATGTAAAATTAAGTAAATATAAAAAATTATTTTACAATACAATTACCGATTTTTTAATTTTGTAAAGTTTATAATCAAACATAGTTTGCATAATATATATTTTAATATAGTTAAATCTTTACCATAGATTAATAACTAAATAAAACAATTAGAATTCATTAAATTATATAACTGTAAACTTAAAAAATTAATTAATTAAATTTTAAAAATATATTACCTCACTCATTTCAACACTTAAGTTACCATGATTATTACATTTGTGACCACACATTAACATTTTAGCTATTTTTGGTTTATATAAATAAAATGGTATAATCCATAAATACTTAGCAATTTTCAATTTGTAAATTAACATTTCTCATGAAAACTATTTAACTTGAGTTTTTTTAATTTATTTATTTACTGTAAAATAGAAAATGTAAGTTTTATTTTTAACTTATTATTATTGTAATCAGTATTTATAGATGTTATAAGTATATGAAAAATATAATGTAAATGTATAATATTAGCAATTATTTTGCAATTAGATAGACTAACTTTGTAAATTATATTTATTGTAATAAATTTTCCATTAAAGTTATAATTATTACAATTTTGTAAACAATTTTTATTTATAATGTCGTTTTATAAATTGTTTCAAAATCAATTATTATTATATTACTAGAAATTATATATTATTTAATTAGTATTTCATATTATTTATTAATTAATAAAAGCTAATTCTTATATAACACTCTTATGTATTATTAAAATTAAAATATAATTAAATAATGTTTAAATAATTGTTTAAATAACTTGTTAATAATTGTTACAATATTTGATAATAATTTTAATATATGATCAATTACATTATTATTGCTATGATATATTTTATAAAAAATTTATATATTAAATATTATAATTTCAAAAATTACATCTAGAAATTGATATTTTTATTATTATAAATTATTTCTGTTATTTTTATTACATAAATATAAATCAATTCAATAGTTTACTCCAAATACAGTATTGATAACAATAAAAATAATTAAATAACAATAAATAATGAATACATTCTGTAATTTATCATAAGTTTGTTATTTTATCTAAATTTTTAGTTTTTTATTTACAAAATTAAATCAAAGCAAATATTTTTCTATAACTTTCAGTTTATGTTAATATAACAATCAATCATAAGATATATATATATATATATTTATATCAACAATTATTATTATTATTTTATTATTTCTATTATTAAAATGTATAGATTTATAATCAAAAAGTTTTGAAGTTAATATAATAATTTTATTTAACACTAATATTTATTTTAATGTTAGCCGTAGTACATTTAGTACAATAGCAGATTAATTGAAAAAATTTGTTTTTATTTATTATCTTTTAATGATATATCCACTTAAACTGCTTTTATTTATGATAATTAAAAATTGTTTCCAAATATATTTATTATTTAACAAATTAATTTGTTTTATAGATAATCATTTTTTTAGATAAATAATATTTTGTATTTAAACGGTTAAATATTCTTATTATAAAGTATTAAAAACATATCTAGAAAACAGTATTTTTCACTAATATTAAAAATATTTTTTAAAAATGAAATATTTATTTTATTTATATATAGTATTAATTAATATTTTCATAAATTTAAATACTAGTATTTGTAACTTTAATTCACAAAATGTTTATAATTTTACCAATAAAGTAGTATTAACTACCGGATCCAACAGTGGTATCGGTGCCGGTATAGCCAAACTGTTTGCCCAATTGGGCGCAAATGTGGTGATTACGGGTAGGAATGCCACTGAAATACAGAGTGTGGCCAATGAGTGCCAACAGTTGTCACCAAAAAAGTTAAAGGTTTGCAAATATTTAACTAAAACAAAAAGAAATATTTTAATATAATTAAATTAATTAAATTATAATCTAGATAATTTTATTCAATAATCTAGATTATAATTTTAGTAAAATAATTGTTTATAAAATATATTAATTTTTAAAGACATTAATATCGTTTCTAATTTAACATAATTAATAAATATATTAAATGTCTACTAAAACAAACAATTACTAAATAACTTAATAGATTATGTTATTATTTTTTAAAATAAAAAACTGCATTTTCTATCTATCAATAAAAATAATTAATTATTTATTATTTATTATAGTGACTATTATTAAGACTATTTATATTTTCCTAATTTAAAAATAAAGTATTATATAATTTAGATTTAAAATAAAAAGAATTTTATATTAATTATAAAAATTTATAAATAGTTTCTTATTTATTATTATTATATTACTTAATAGCCATTACAAGTGGTGGCCGACGTATCAAAAGATAGTCAATTGAATGGACTATTGAATAAAACTATTGAAACTTACGGCAAGTTAGACGTATTGGTCAACAACGCCGGTATCGCACCGTTTGTGGCCATCAATGACTCAAAATTTATGTCAACTTATGATACGGTAATGGCTGTCAATTTGCGGCCGTATGTTCAGCTCAGTTATCTGGCTGTACCCTATTTAAACAAAACAAATGGTACTATTATCAGTATGTCAGGCATCACATCACTGGCGCCGGTAGTTTTCAATAATATTAATAATAATCAGTTATTTAATCTATATATTACTTTCTCACACTATTTGTTACACACTTTTTTATATATTACGTGACTTACAATACAGATACGCAAAACTCTAGCACTTGACGTATCCAAAGCCGGTGTCGATATGATGACCCGTGTGTTGGCACTAGAGTTGGGACCCAATATACGGGTCAATACTATTAGGTATACATATAAATATATAATTAAAAGTTTATATTATAAGTAGTAAACAACTAAATTGTGTATAACTTACAATAATATCATTGTAATTATATTTCTAGCCCAGGTAGTATAGACAATGGCGATCCGAATTCTGAAAAAATTAGAAAATATTTGGCAGCAAACACACCATTGAAACGGTCGGGTCAACCACAAGACATAGCACAGGGAGTAGTATTTTTGGCCAGTGACCAGTCAACGTTTATTACCGGTACCGATCTGGTCATTGATGGCGGACTGGTCTACAATATTGGCGGTATTGAATAGATTTGTTTACAAAAAAATATACACTACTATTGAGATTTGAATTTAGATTTTTATCTGAAAAATAATATTTCTTATGTGTAAATATTTTTTCTAAAATAAATATTTATACAAAATATATTAATTAAAATTAAAATTCAAAGTTTTCACTAAAATTTTAAGTGTCAATACCTAACTAAATGTAATTTTTAATGAATAATAATTAGTATAAATTATACATAAAAGCTAGAAAAAAATGTTATTATTTATTAAAAACATTTTAACATAATGAATATGTTAACTTAAAAATATTAATTTTTGTGATAATAATAATATTTATAGATATTAGTTATCAAAAAAAAATATTAAAGTTTATTTTGAGAAAAATATTTTTAAGATAATTATTTTTAAATACTAGAGTTTTATTTTATGAATAAAAGTCAACAATTTCTGTAAATGTCATCAATATTTATATAATAATTTATGTTTATATTATTTCAATGATGTTTACTGTTATATTATACTTAATTCAACAATAGATAAGTTCGTTAAACAGTTTCATTCATTAAAAATAAAAATTTCTCAAATTATTATATATATCTTATCAATTTTAAAAATCACTTATATAAATAAATTTATGTTAAACATTAATAAACAAAAATATAAAATCAATAATGATGTGATAGTAATAAATAATATATCAATAGTTTATTAACACAGACGCACATATTTAACAGTATATACTCAAAAAATCACATTTAATTTATTTTATTACATATTATATTATTATTATTATTATAAATTAATTAACTTAAAATTATGTCCATTTATAATAAATATGTTTTTATTGTCTATATTATCGTAACTATTTTGTTTCCCGTTTATTATGCAAATGTGAAATATAATTATCAAAAAATTTGTGACACCAATAGCTATGAACAAACAAATTCACCAAGTTGCTATGTGCAATTATTTTGCAATTATACCTACAATAGTGATTATGTTCAATATAAATTAACTAAATTCAGTATCAGCTTAAATAAGACACTAATTTATTTCTATGAAAACGGAGGTAATTATTAAACTTTATTATTATTATTTAAAAATCTATTTATTTATTATTATTAATATTTTTAAAAAAACACAAATAGTTGGCAGAAATTTAGATCCAAGATATGTGACAACAATTATCAATGAAAATTTAATTACTAATAATAATAATAACATTATTGTTAACAACACCAACAATACTAACAGCAACAATACAACCACAACTAACAACAATACGAGTAATAGTACTGAAAGCAAATTAATTGCTACATCAAAAACTAACGGGGGCAAATTTAAAACAATATTCAATATTACCAATTCAAATGATATCGATGCCCGGAATAAGGACTATTATGTGGGAGCCTACCAGTGCTATATGGAAAGTAGCATTGGGTATATGAAAAATGCCGATATTGTCAATTTTGATGTACCAAAACAGACAGGTACAATTAGCAGTTTTTATTTATTTATATTAAAAAAATATTAAAAAGATAGTTATTTAAAATAATATTAATATTTTTATCATTAATTATTAGCTGAACCAACCAATAACAACAAATTGATCAAAATCTTAGGACTTGACATAATAACAATTATTTCATTTATTGTATTAATATAAATAATATTATTATATATTTAACAATTTTATTGTATTTTCATTTAAAATAATATATTTAATAAATAAACTGTAATATCATTTTATAACATATATTATAGAAAACTATTTAAATAAATAATAATATTTTAGATACTTTAGTTAAAGAAGTATTTATTAAAATACTTTATAAAATTTATTAACAAAATCTCATAAAATAATCTTATTATTAAAAAATCCAATAAAAATTGATAAAAAATTAATATAATGTAATAAAATGTAATTAGAATAAGTAATACCAAATGAATTTTAACAGAAACCAAGTATTAGTACAGTTATAGTAAAAACTGTGACTATTATGTGTTAACACTTATCATACACTATACTAATATAATTTCATAAATTTTATTTTTGATTAAATTAGATATTATTTATTCATATTTAATGTTTATGATCTCTAATGTGTATAACTGCTTACAATCAAATATATAATAACATTTTAAATATATGTAAAACTTTTGTTGAGTTTTACGGCAATTGTTTATTAGGCGCACCAATACATTAAAAAACTCATTGTATTTTAAAATTATTATTTATTTAATTGTGAATTTGTTATACATTTGTAGTTAATATGTTGCAGTCGTAAGCACTGGCATATCAAAGCATGAAAGGTATGGTCAGTGCTATCCCTTATATAGGGATTTAAGTCAATAGATTGACCCTTAAAATAGTCGGCAGTTATTTGAAAAGTAATAGAGTTATAGAAAGTAAAATATTTTCTATTATTGGCAAAAATGTTAAATTTATGTCTATTTGTTAATTAAATTATTACTTATTTTATGTGAAATATTTCTATATATAAGTTATCATCAAATATAAAGTAGATATACTTTACATATATTCTTTAAAATATTTTATTAATTATTTTATTTGATATACTCGAAAATATTTTCTAATGCACTAATGTCCGATCACTTTATGATACCATAGATACATGTAATAATTAGGTTGGCCAATTCAAAATATTTATTAGTAAAATATATTGCAAATGAAACTGATATTGATTTAAAAGTAAAGTATTTTTTAAATTAAAATAATGAATAAAATATATAATATTTAATGTGTATTTCAAACTGTAATATAAATTAATAAAATTTTTCTCTGTTCTAATATTAAATGTTTATATTTATTAAGCAAACTGTAAAAACTTAATTTAAATAAATAATAAAATATTATTTTAATAATTATAATTTCGGCAACAACCTAGTTGTCATATTCCTAATTATATTAAATTATTTTTTATAATATTCAAATTAATTACAAATTAGTTTAATTATAATAAAAGTCAATTAAAATTATATATATAAATAAACACTTTTATTGTATTTATTTAATTATTTTATGTAATACGTAACTTATAATAATATTTTATAAAAAAAATTATTATTTGCAATTATTTAATTAAATTTTAGTATAAAATACAACCCTTATTTTCAAGACTTATATTAATTAATTTGAAATAATCTAATAGTTAATTTTTTAATAAATATAATAAAATATATTTAAATTTAAATAAATTGTCTTAATTTATTCTTTAATTTATTTATTACACGTTTTAGTTTAATTCATTAATTAAAATTTCTAAATTTTCATCTGCATAAGTATCATGATTATATAGTACACGTAATTTATAATTAGACAATTTGGATAATTTATCTACAGGTGCTGTCTGGACCAATTGTTTTAGTTTGTCAATTTTAGCTTGCACCTGTTTAACTTGTGGTACCGTTTGCATTATTGACTGTCTAACGGCATGGGCAACATTGGGCACCAGTGTATCAATAGCTGTCTGGATGTTCTGTTTAAGCACCGGTAACTCACTCACTACTCGTTTGATAACTGCCTGTCCATCCGTAGTGTTGGGATTTGCTTGTACTGTGTCCGACCAATCGCGATATAATTGATTGACCAGTTTGTTGAGCTCAGTTAGATTACAAGTATGACAAGCATCGTTATAGTTCATGGCTTTAGCAGATATGTTCATTTGAAGCTCAGTTAGCTCATTGACCAGTTGGTTATAGTCAATATCGCTGTCATAGACAGTACTATCGTATAAAAACATAGACTGTCCCCAGGTAACTATTAGATTATTATTAAAATATAAATTAATTAATTGTTAAATTACAAAAAAAATAAATAAATAATTATTTATTAAATATATTTTTAATTACATGTTAGTGTTAATAAAATTAAGCATGTTATTTTCTGATTAATCATTTTATATAATTTTATATAATATTTTAATATACTATTACTATATTAGTTGAATATTACAACAGTTTAATAAAGTTTTAATTTGAACAATAATTATTTTATAAATAATTTTATTAGAAATAAAAACATTATTTATAAGTACACATGTTATAAATAAATTTTTAAAATATAATTAGACCACTGCATAGTATTATCTAATATGAAAAGCATAGATAAAATTTAAACTAAAAGTTAATAATAGTGCTAAATATTATAGAACTGATAAAAAATAATTCAATACTTGTTTTTTATACATTTTAAGGACAATTGTTCATTAAAATTATTATAAAAAAAAATTCATAATTTAATAATACTAAATATTATTCTTATAATTAACAATATAAATAAAATGTCAGCATTAATATTAGTTAATTATTTTTTATTTATGATTATAAATAACATTTTTCAATTTTATTTTTATACATTTGAATATTGTTTGTATAGTAAATTAAAAATTATAGTTTTAATTATTTATTTTACACTTAAAAGTTTAACAATTTAGAAAATTAAAAAAAAACTATAAAAATAATAAAATTATATTTTAAACTAATACAGTAAAGTATATAGTTTTTTTTAAAAATTCAAATGGACAAAAAATATCTTAATCTTGCATTTTTAATAAAATACATATTAGTTGTTTACTTAGTTACAGTTTTTAGATTTTATTATTTATTATAAACTATTTAATATTTTATTTAAATAAAAAAAATTATAAATTTTCAATACAGTTTTTTTCTTATTATTAAATTTATATAAGTATTTAAAGTTTAAACTAGCACATTAATTAGATCATCCAGATACTTTAAATCAATATCAGTTTCATTGGCAATAGATTTTACTAATGAATAGTCTGAATTTGCCAACTGTTCATTACTAGCTACCTGTGCCGTTTTTAATAGTTTGTCCAATTTATTGTCGACCAATTTAGCTAACTGTGCCAGGTCAGTTATTAACTTGTTATTCACACGACCTAACTGTTCCCAAACATTGTTCAAAGCTTTGACAATAGTTGTATTGACAATAGGTTTTTGTTTTTCGACAGCAGTTAAAACTTGTTGTCCATCCGGTGTTCGGGGATCGGCATTCAGCACCTGTACTCTCAATTGATACAACTGTTCCAGTGCTACGCGAGCATCGGTTAGATTAAAATCATCGGGTACCTCGTGGACTAACTGTGCCAATTGGTCCGTATAGTTAAAATACATGTCATTGAGCTCGTGTAGCAATTTATCCCTGTCCACCACATCAGCCAAAACAACAACATTGTTGATAAATACAAATGAGACTATTAGTAAAAAAATAAAATAATTAATTCTAGAGTATAATTATTTTATTTTATAAAATTAAATCAAAAATAAGCTAATAATATACCTAAAAGTGTTAAAATTATTTTATTAAACATTTTTTTAATTATAAAGAGTTGTTTAATATGTATAAATAAATTTATATTATATTTATAATTTCTAAATGTTTTTTTATTATGTCTGTCATAAATAAATTAAAACTTCAATGTTATTGATTTGATTTATATAAACTTTTAATGACTGATACAAACGATATTAATATTTTTTTTAGATAAAATAATGTACTTTTAAAATTTGTACAGATAAAAAACACTATTAACATTGTTAAGTTTATATTAAAGGATAATGATTACAATATTACAATAATTAATAATAAGTATAAGTATATCTTATATTATTAGATATAATGTTTCTAGAATTTAACAATTTAATAAAATTATAGCATTTTAACAAATAATTAATTATAGCTTTAAATAATACGATTATAGTATTTAATTAAATGTATTATGTTGTAAAACTATCAAGATAAAATAATTTTAATGTCTAATTCATTTATGATTGATACTGAAGTCAATATTATAATAAAAGTTTTAAAAAACTAACTTATGGTTACAAATTAATTACTATAAATTTACATCTTTTTAATTTAATTATTTTAAATATAAAAGTGAAAATCTAATAAAAAAATTTATATAACATATTAATAAAATAAATAATTATAATATGGTATTTTAAAATAATTTAGTTAAAGTAACAAAAGTAATTTAATTATAAGTAATTTAATTTAAGTTAACTATAAAATTTAAAAAACTAGTAGTTTTATAGAAATATATTGAAAAAAATATTATATAAATTATTTAATTATTTTTACATACAATCGTTAATATGCATTTGAAGTAATATTATTAATATTATTTAAATAAAAATTAAGTATTTTTGAAATTAATTAATTAAATTAATATTGTATTAATATTTTAGTATCACTCGCTTTGGTTACTCATATAATAGTATATCATATTTTAAACAATTTTTTGAAAATAATTACTATAACATTATAAAAATTAAAATCAAATTTTTTTATTTATTACTCAAATCTACAATATTTTTTTACAATAGTATTTAATCTAATAATTCGTTTTCAACTAAATTTCTATAGTATTTTCGATCAACTTTTCCAATGGATGTCCTATGAATTTGATGGACAAACACAACACCGCCTTTCAGTTGTTTAGTGTAAGCCATAGTTTCTGATTAATTAATAGATAAATAATTAAAAAAAATTAATTTTAATTAATAAAAAAATAACAAATTATATTTTATAAAAAGTACCGGAAACATATTTTTTGATATCATCGCCGCCGATAACTGAATGTCCCTGTTTGAGAACTACGTAAGCGCGCGGCCAATGAGTACCGGCTATGTTGTTGACGCCTACAACAGCTACCTCAGCAATGGACGGGTGAGTCAACACAAACATCTCAATTTCCGACGGATTGATATTAACATAATGATTATCCACACCAACCCGTATCACCTCTTTGACTCTTCCCGTTATAAACAGTCGTTCCCTGTTATCATAGTAACCAATATCGCCAGTCCGATACCAACCGTCCGCATCAATTGCTACACGATTTGCCGTATCGTTGTCCAAATAACCCATAAATAGTCGGACACCACGTATGCATATCTCACCGTCACTGTTAGCTCCGAGTGATGCACCGGTATTCAAGTCGATAATTTTGAGCTCACCTCCCGGTGACACTCTACCAACGTTTCCCGGTATGAGTTGGTTGCCATCCATGACATCCTCACCAGTTGTAAACCATATATACTCAGTCATACCGTAGGCTACATATAGGTTAGTATATTTAAACAATAAATAATTTTATTTAAAAAATAATATCTAAAAATTGTTTGTAAACTAATTGTAATATTATAATCTTAAGGTATTTCAATAATAATAAAACACACAAAACACATACTCTCTCTCTCTCTCTCTCTCTCTCTCTCTCTCWCTCTCACACACACACACACACACACACACACACACACACACACACACACACACACACACACACACACACACACACACACACACACACACACACACACACACACACACACACACACACAAGTTGATACACAATTACACATACTGTACATACATTTATACTGTAGTTAATGTTAATAACATAATATAAGATTTAAAAATCTATACTTACTTTCTCTGAACACTAGATTATATTTTTCGATAATTTGTCGGGCAATATGTCCGGGAAACGGTGCACCACCGGTGCTCATACCAATCAAACTTGACAGATCATACCTGTCAGCCAAATCGCCTTCAATCAAACGCCTACCGAAACTGGGAAACGCCGGCAATATATGTATCCCGTATTTCTCAATAGACCTGAACAGCAATTCCTCGTCAAACTGACCCATTATGACACACTGTACACCAGCTATGATCTGCAAAGGTATCATACACGTGCCCGACACGTGACCGCAAGGATAAGGTATAGCGCATACTGTGGTGGTTGTCGTTGGCTTAGCTATGGTGCTGTTGTCTGTTGTGATGTCATGTTTAGGGTTGTCCTCATAGTTCAGATATATTTTAGAATATTGCGAGGCATTGATGAACGTCCGATGCCCTATCATTGCACACTTGGGACGACCGGTACTGCCCGACGTATGCACCAAAAACAAGACATCCGTTTCAGGATTTACATTGAAATATGGTATTTGCGGTAACTGTTGACCACTTCCGTCGGCTAATAACTGTCCATATGTTACATGTCTTTCTCGATGCTGTAGTAGTTGTTGTTGTTGTTTAACATCAAATACTATACACTGTTTGATAACATTGGCATTACTATCGAGCAAAAGATGTTCAAACTTATGGTAGTCCTGACCAGCGGTCATAATAATGTTGGTTCGGGAGGCTATGATCTCCTGTTCCACTTCGTATCGTTCAAACGTAGGACTTAACGGCATAAATGTTATGCCCAATAGTTTAACGGCAAACCTCATGATTGTGTGTTGTATTGAATTTTGTCCGGAAAATGCTACCGTATCCTGTTTGGTGACCCCACGGTTAACCAGCGCTACACCTATACTGTTGGCCCGGTATTTGAGTTCACCGATTGTCAGTTTTTCGTCAGTGGACGCATCGATCTTTTAGTTTTAAAAATTCAAGTATTATTACTTAATAATTATTTTAAATATTTAGTAAAAACTAAACAACAAATTATAAATAAATAGTTATAAATATTTATATTTTCATATAATTATCATTAGTACTACATTTTTAGCTAATTTAGTTGAAAAAAGTGTGAATAATTTTTTAATATATAATTATAACAATTATTTTTTTTCTAATTAAGATTAGTTATCTACATATCATATTACATATTGATTTATTATATAGTTTATTTAACTATAAAAAATAATTAATTTATATTTACCAGGCATACTAGATCTTCGGGTAATTTTGATAACTTATCCCAACAGTAAGCGCCCACCGTTTTAATAGGACTGCCAATTGGCTTTAAATCCGAGTATAAAATATTGTCTTTTATAGGCATTTTGTTATTTTTTATTATATCAATATTAACTTTTTTTTTAATTTTTCTCTAACTTATACTAATATAAAAATTAACAATTATTATTATTTTAGTCTGATTAACTCAAACACAATTGATATTTTTAAAACTTATGTTTTAATCTTTATATTAATATATTTAACGCGCTTTTATATTTATATAATTTTGTTTTTCAATATAAACATTATTTTTTATTATTATTATGTAATGTTTTTGATAATAAAGTATTAATACTATTGGTACATATTATTATGTAATTGATTTATTATATTTCATATGCTATATATTTACGTTATGATGAGTAAATGTACAGTATTATCTAATTATAAATAATTAGCAAAACTAAATTAACTATTTTTGTTGTAGTATTAAAATTAAATATATAAAATAATAAGCTTATTAATAATTTTTAATTACTTATTTTGTTAGTTTATATCCATCTAAATACAGTAATTATAAGTTTTGTTAATTGTATTTGTTAACTGTGTACACTGTATATGTAAACTCGCATTGAAGATAATTAATAATTTATAATGTTTGCACCTAGATAGTATAAAGTATTACATTATGATATTAAAACTAAACAATAATTATCTATGACATTATTATATTAATAAATAACAATTTTTGAAAAAGTTTGAATTTAGTACATTAAATATAAAGATTAGCTTATTATGTAATAAACTAAAAATATAAGTAATTTATAGAAAGGATAGTTTTTTTTAAATAAAATGATTTCAATAAACTACACATTTTTATTATCTATTAAAATAGTAATAATAATTATTAAATTTAGATTTAATAAGTTTTTTTTCTCTAAATTGGCATTATTTTTTGTATAATACAATTAGTTTTTTTTTATTATAAGTGTAATTAAGTTAAATTAATTATTTGTCTTATCATTTATTTAATAATATATTAAATAGATATCGAAAAAATATTTGTTGTTAATTTGTATTTTTTAAAATTAAAATTTAATTATTATAAGTTAATATGAATCAAATATTATTATTGTTAATTTTACTTTTATTTGAAATAAATTATTTATTATATATTATTATGCACTTTGTAGTTGTTTTCACACATATTAAATAATTTAAGTAAAAAACTTACTTTAAATTGAAAACACTTAATATCACAAAACTAGTGAATTGGTGTACGATATCGATATCGTTTCGGTGGCTCACAGCACACCATCATCAGCACTAATGCACTGTCTTATAGTCATTGAGACCAACAGTGCTGTAAACAATACGAGAGGTTCGGACGGGGAGTGACACCCGAGATGTGTGGAAATTGTTTATATAATTTGTATTTTTTAATATAGAATTTAATATAGAATTTAAAAAATACAAATTATATAAACAATTTCCACACATCTCGGGTGTCATTCCCCGTCCGAACCTCTCGTATTGCTTACAGCACTGTTGGTCTCAATGACTATAAGACAGTGCATTAGTGCTGATGATGGTGTGCTGTGAGCCACCGAAACGATATCGATATCGTACACCAATTCACTAGTTTTGTGATATTAAGTGTTTTCAATTTAAAGTAAGTTTTTACTTAAATTATTTATTTATTATATATTTTTATCAAACTGTTATATATTACTCAAACTTTTAGGCGTTTATTCATACATTTAAAAAACAAACAAATAAGTGATCCGTTATGTCATTTATCATTATAAAAATATTTTAACAAAAAATCAATTATTGAACCGCTCAGTTCTAATTGTAATAAAAATAAATAAATGTGATAATGACATTACAATGATCATGTTAATTTTGTTAATTTATAGACACCCTATAATAATTAATAACTATTTAAAATAAAATTTAAAAATTAATAATTGAAAAAATTAATTTTTATATAAATATTTGATAACAATTTTTCTGGCAATTGACTTTTAAAAATTGCTTATTAATTGTATAAAATAAAACTAATTCATAAGTAATTAAACGAAATTATTAGTGGCATAATAATGTTATTATTACATAAATGTTGTTTTTATTTTAATTTGATAAATTAATAAATATTTTTTTTATTAATTTTACATTTGTATAAAATATATTTTTTATGTTTATTTGTTTCAAACTGTATTATTATTTAATTAATTAGATTATAAATTTATTACTAAAAGTTATTATAAAATTAAACTGCTCAATTTCAATGTTAATAATAATGTTATTATAATTAGAACTGAACAATTCAATCTTTTAAATTATTTGTTTTTATTTAACTAATTTTTAAAACAATAACTAATTTTTAATAATAGGAGCTATCATATGAGCAAATTGTCGTTTTTTAAACTAAAATTAAACTAAATCTATTTAGCATAAAATTTCTAAACAATAAAAAATATTTTGATAATATAAAATTTATATCAAAATTAAAATTTCATTATAAATTGATGTTACAGTAATTGGTTATGATAAAAAATAATAGATATATTTATTTTTCAGTTTTTAAAAAAATAATTATTATGATTAAATTATTAATATTTATTTTTTTTTGAGTTAAAATAATAAAGTTGATTACATTTTAGATAAAATTATGTTATTTATAAAATACAAAATAAATTGTTTTTAAAAGAAAGTAAAATATAGTTTAAAAGACTTCATTAAAAAATATTAATTAGTTTAAAAATGCATGCGTTATTTGTATTAATATAATCTACTTTTTTTATATAAAAAAAATTTCAAATATTATTTTCAAAAAATCTTAGCAATAATTAAATGAATATTTAATTACAAAATAATAGTTTAAGTAAGATATAATATAGTAAAATTTATTATCAAATTAGTATTAAATAATTGAATAATTAATTAATTAATTAATAAGCAAATTTCTGGCATCATCATATTTACTACGAAATGCGCCCACTTTCCCCCCACCACTACCACGTGATCTATATTTAAAAATCAAATTACGCGAAAACAAATAATACTGTATGGCCAACACAATGAGCAAGCTCAATAATATTATAGTGCCAAAAAATATGACAGTCGGCATTATACGTCTCATTTCAGCCACAAATCCGTGATACCGGTGCTCATTATGTTCATCCAGTGTCATGTGATGGGTCTGACGTTCATCGAAAATAACCTGTTGTACCGATTCGTGTAATTTTAGTCGTTCTAGTGCTACCTGTACCATGTCAAATTTATGCGATCTAGTTGGACTAGGTGATTTTGAACTGTCTGGTTGTCTAGTGGTAACAAATTTTGCTGATGTGGTCACACTGGACGGTAAAGTTTTATTGTTTGCCAATTTGTCAACAAAATTATCTTGATGACATTGTCTACTATGATAGGCAGCCTGTTTGCAGCCTAACTGTTCTATGTTTAAGACGAGCTAGATAAAATTAAATAATTATAATATTTATCTAATATAGCAATTCTATTGTGTTATTGTTGTTTATCTATTGTTTAAAACTACAATACCTTCAACAAATAAGCACTGGTAGTATTGATCTCCTGTGGCAAACATCTAACATTGGCAATCGTATCGAGACAGTCAATATTATCCCACGTTGAACAACATAATCGCTGGACAGGCGTATAGTTAGATGAAGTCATATTCCACTTGAGTTCGGCCGTATCGACACATCCCTGACGAACGTTCCGTTTGAGACCATAGAGACAGTCTATGGTTAACGGATCGGGTAGTGGTAGGCTGTCTTCATCACTCATGTTTACGTTGACGTATATTTGTCGCAACTGTGGTACCAAACAAAAAGGACTCTCAAACGGGTAGTCACGACACGTCCCGTTTTCGTAATAGTCTCGGGCGTCGAGAAAATGTTTGCGAAGTTCCTGTTTTTCGCGATCTAAACATTTTGACTGTTTTAAGTAAAATAATAATTATTATAAAAATAGGAAAATAAAATATAATAGTTTATACAAATCGATTTATATAATAATACGATTAAAAGTTTATCAAATTAATAGATAAAAATATTTTATTTTCAATATTTATTACATATTATGTATAATATGATTGATTTTATTTAAATTATTCATTTAAATTATTTTTTTATGTACAAACTCTTTAATTGTAAAAAATTAATTTAAATTATTTTATATTTAATATTTATATTGAGAATGAATTATAAAAATTGTGTTATAAAGAAATAATTATCCAATAGTGTTATCTTACAAGTTATTTATTACACACTAATAGATCTTTTAATTTTTTTAAATAGGATATACAGTATATCTATACAATTGTAAGTATAGTATTATACTAATAGTGAAAATTGAAATTATTATATTTTTAAAAAAATTATTGACTAACCGTATTGACAACATTTAGACTGCACTCCAAGTGTGTCCATCGGGAACAACACGAATCGGCCAGAGATGAGTTCGGACCGATAGACCACTGTTTGAAGGCATCGTTTTGACACAACTGTACTGAACTGTCAATTAGTGCCAAACATTTTAATGCCTCGTCATTGTGTTGAGGAAAATATTGACCGCAAACACCGTATATTATAATAATAATATTTATGAATAAAAATAGACAACAATTTAAAATTGACATTGCTTATTATCAGTTATTTTATAAATTATTAGATTATTTTTATTAATTTATTTTAAAAAAAGCATGTCTTAAGACACCATTTTTTTAGTATTATTAATAAAAATAATAATTTTATAACAAAGAAACAAAAAATATATTGTTTTTTACATGTATCACACCCTTGTACATAGATTACAAATTATATAAAAATTTACTATTAGCAACTAGATAACTTTATCATTATTACCTAGACAAATATCTATAAATTAATTTGTTATATAAAAATAAATGTATAGTTTAATAGTATTAGTATATTATAATATGGATTTATAAATTAGATTTTTATATATATATCATTTAATTATATATTATAAATTAAAATTAATTCTTAAAATTGATTACATTATTACTGAGAAAAACACTAAAATATAAGTTATTAATTATAATAAACTTTATTTAGTTTCAATGTGATAATTATTTACATGCAATAATTATTTACAAAATTATATATAATTTAAATTTTTAGCTAAATAAAAAAAATTCTATTTTATATTTTAAATATTAATAACATTTACAGTTTATAGACATAAAAATAGCTTTAAATAACTCTATTACTTAAACAAAATTCAAATGCAAATATTATATATAGCAAAAAATTATTATAACTTATAATAAAGTTTTAGTTAATATAAAACAAATTACTATAAACTATTGATATATAATTTAATGTTATTTTTAATTTATACATTATCAATTAGACAATTTATTTATTATAGATTTTATACTGTAATTACAAATTATTCAAAAATTATTTTAAATTATGCTTAATTGTTATTTATAAATAGTCTTAAGAATCTATTTACTATTTTTTCATTTATTTAGAAATATTTATAATTTATTATAATTATAAATTATTAGTGTACACATAAACAAATAATTACTAAATTTATTAATTATATTCATAAACATGAATTATTTTAATAAATTAATCAATCAATAGGTTTTACATATTAAACTTATTAAGTACTTTGTTAAATCTATCAAAAACATAATAAATATAATTTCTTTTATAAATTTATAAATCAAATAATTAAACTAAATATATTTACTTAAACATATTTAACTTACTTAATATTTCAAAATTTTATAACTAACCAAACCTAGTAATTACATTTCAAATAATTTTTTATATTTACAATTATACTTATTATTTAATAATGAACTTATTTATAGATAGTACTGTAATGTATTTCCCTATTGGACCCAACTATACCCTATTAGGTATTTAGGGTACGCCTACCCGTTCCCATATATAAAACCCCAGTAATGTACTAATCGTCGTCTTCTAGTGTATACAGTGACAGCAAACAAAATGGTAACGAGTTTGATCTTAAATAACAATTATATTAATTTTATTTTAAATGTCTAATAATTTTAATATGATAGCCCATATGTTTAAATATAAGATAATAATTTTTTTTAATAAGAAATAGCGCATTCTGTATATCTTATAGAGGAAAGCGCTTCCACTAAGTTTTGACGGTTTTCCACTGCAATTGTTATCATTACGTTATCATCTTTTTCGGTAATAAGTACATTATATTCGGCAGATATTTTACATGAAAATTCATGCCTCGTAATTGGTGACCACTTTTTCATACTTTTATCTACTATATTAGCTTTCATATAAATTTTGTGGGGTAGTTTTATTAAAGGGGTTCTCTATGTTTAACGTAAAGTGCGTAAACTTGTTATTTAACTAGATCTGGCTTAATGTCCAGCGATATTATTTGCGTTAAAAATTATTTTTTGACTATTTTTTTATCTTTTTGTAGTAATATACATATCACTGATTATATATTTAACACTTTTTATAATACATAGTTTTTTAAAATCTAAAATTATCATATAATAAGAATATTGTTGAGTGGAAAAGTAGCGGAAGGGTCACCCACTCCTGATAGTGATAACAACACTCCAGACATTATATGATACTCAATATATGTAAAAAACTGTTTTTTAATAAATATATTACAGTTTAATATATAATATATATTTTTAAATTATATATTATAGCTTAAAATTAATTTCAAACTCTTTACCATTTTGTCTACTGTCACTGTACTATACTGTACTGTATATTCATATTATTACTGCTATATATTCAATAAAACATGTTTATATATTACATTTGTGTATCAATTATTTTTTTAAAAACTAAAGTGTGACATACCCAACCCGCCGGAACCGGGAATACAATTCCCATCACAATTGGAGGTCCTACCGAGACCTTCCCATCGATTGTGGTATAAAGTTCGGGAACAGGCGCCTTGACGGTAAAGTGGGTCGAGTGGGAAGAGTAGGTACCATTCGGACACTTCAAGAGGAAAAGCAACTCCCGTTCGCATCCACTTTGGAAGGTCTGCTAACAACACCGACGGATTGGATCTATAAACACCAGGTCGAGAGGAAGAATAACCCCCGCTAGAAGACCAATACAACAAATCATGGCTGACGACCAAAACGCTATCACACTTCAGGATCTACGACAAGTTGTAAACGAAGTAGTAAGTGGCGGTCTTTCCTCTTTGGGTAATTTTAGAATAAGTAGCTATGAGGGGAATATAAGCAGCGAAGCGCAAAAGTGGATTGACGACTTTGTCGATGCCACTAATCTCAAAGGTTGGGATGATAATAGGCGCTTCAGTAACTTCAATCAGTTTTTAAGCGGCAAAGCAAAAAACTGGTATAAACTTTATGTTAAATTAGCCGGCAATGCAGCGCCAGCAGATTGGGCGGCTTTATATCGAGCATTCATAAGATACCATGTCCCCACTGATAGGGATAATGAATTGCGTACAAAAATGATAAAAAGAAAACAGTTAGAATATGAAGATGTAAAACAATACATCACTGATAAGCGACTTAAATGCTTAGATTATAACGCAAATATTGGTTGAAACGATTGGTAAGCTGTACCCTAATATCTCGGTAACTATTAACGGCTTAACCAAAGTAGTAAATATAAAATTAATTGTAGTTAAAAATTTCCACTTTGATTTACTATTAGGTAATAATTATACAGTGAAAGCAGGTGTCTTTATTGATTGTGCTAGAAGACAAATTATGTGTAGGGAATCCATAAAAAGCCTTAGTTGTTTAGAAAAATCATATGACTTCTATGATAACAAATTGCATTTAGCAAAACCGATAACTGTTCCGGCAAATGAACCTCAACTATTACAGGTCAGACCTAGTAATAAAACTATAAGGTTACCATATTTTAATTGTAAATTTATACCTTCCAAATCATTTGCAGTTAAATACAACATTGATATAAAAAGTGATAAAATTAGAATTAAATATAGTAAGGGAACGATTTAACAACAATTATGAAATACACCTAAATGATGGGATTATTGTTGGTTACTTTATAGTAGATAAAGATTCAGATAGTGAATCTGATACTGCCTTAACCAACAATCCTATCGAAAATTTAATAGAAATTTCAAGCAATGATTCCGATAAATCTGATGATTGCACAACAACATCAGATGAATACTATACATATGACTCAGAAAGTTCCAATAGTGATATTGAAATTACACCCTATATTGAAAGATGTGAATATTGTGTAAACAAAGAGTACAAAACAGATCATACAACGATGAATTCATTTATTGTAGTAATGCCTATTGTCAATATATAGCTGAGAAAAATTAGATGCAAAATAACTTAAGCTATGCAGAGAAACCTATACGGGGTATTCTAAAAAATAACAATAAAAGTATAGCCTCGCGTTACATAATAAGTTCAGATTTGACAACTGAACAACAAGGTAAACTAAATGATTTACTTGAAAGCTTCAGCAGCGTCTTTGCTTTTGACAAAAACAAATTAGGGCTTTGTACAGTAGAAGTTCTCACTAAAATTGAAAAATCCTGAACAAAGACCTATAATACAGCCTCCCAAACAATACAGTCCTTTCTTAAAAAATATTATAAAGCAACAAATAAATGATTGGATAAATATAGGAGTAGCCGAACCATGTGTCAGTGCATATGGTTCGCCAGTGTCATTAGTTGACAAAAAAAACCATAGGCCCAGATGGTCAGCTCGAGAAAAGATTATGTGTCGACTATAGAATGTTAAATAACTTAACAGAGGATGATATACACCCTATACCTGATCTCCAGCGCTGTCTAAGGTCATTTGCCAATGCAAAATATTTTTCACTGGTCGACCAAAACAGTGGATATATGCTGTTTGAGGTGGATGATAAAATTAAAGATATGTTAGCTTTCAGGACTGAAGATGGGTTATATACATTCAACAAAATGCCGTTTGAAACTTCCTTTACCCAACCGAGTAAACTGACCGACAATTGCTTCCAATTCGTATTCATCAGAAATTGGACCCGGTTCGTCAAAACTTCTTGGCGCCCTTTCATACTGATGAATCTTGATGTCAACACAATTGTCCACAGACGAATCATCATTTGGACTAATCAAAGATTTAAGTCCTGACGACCATTTAAAAAGTCGGCCTTATTTTCACACAAATAGCGCTAAAAGTAATGAAATAGAAACAAAAAATTCAAATTAAACAAAAAAATAATTAAATAAAATAAATAACTTACACCAAAAATGTCAACCACTTGTTTGGTCGATCGAGTGACTCTCTTTGGTGGCGAATAGGTGGAAACATCAATAACTGGTTCCCGAAGACGAGTCAAAACTACCGATGAGGGACGAACCAAATTGGCATTAAACCCAGTAGAGAGAGCAGAATTCGGGACCACTGACACAATGGTCTCAGAGAGGACGTTATAAATGGCCGATAAATCATCGATAAAGTCATCGGGTGTTGACATCGGTCTAGTATTGGTGACAATCGGTGCGACAGTGGCCCTTGTAACATAAGGCGCCGCCATAAGTTCGGGTGAAACGGGAGTCACAAGTCTCCGTTTTCTAACGGGAGATTTATTTCTCTCGTTAAGAGGAATGTCTTCCCGGCGTAATCCACTACCACCGCTACCATCATTAAAAACTCGGACATTGCGGGGTACGTAAGGAAGAGGAGATGGTGAGGACAATGGGGACTTCAACTG